CGGCATCGGCATGCCACCCCTAGGCTCATCTCTAGTGAGCCTGGTTTTGTCCCCTTCCTCCTTCAAACCTAGTTTAAAGCCCTCTCAATGAGCCCTGCCAATTCATAAGCAATGACCCTTTTCCCCCTGTGAGACAGCTGGACTCCATCTGTCACCAGCAGGCCCGGTGCCGTGTAAACCTCCCCATGATCAAGAAAGCCAAAATTCCTCCGACGGCACCAGCCCCTGAGCCACGTGTTGATCAGGTGTGTTTTCCTGTTCCTTCCAGTGTCCTTCCCTGCCACTGTAGGGATTGAGGAAAACACTACCTGTGCTCCCGATCCTTCAACCACTTTCCCCAGTGCCCTGAAATCCCTTTTGATCGCCTCAGGACTTCTCTCTGCAACCTCATCGCTGCCAGCCTGTATAACCAACAGCGGGTAGTAGTCTGAAGGCCATACCAGATCAGGGAGCTTCCTAGTAATGTCTCTGACCCGGGCCCCAGGGAGGCAGCAGACTTCCCTGTGGGACGGGTCCGGTCGGCAAGTAGAATGGATTCTTTATATTGCCAAGGTGAAGGAATTGCTGGTGAAAAGAAAGCAAATTCAACTGAGATACCTTTCTTGGCAGTTGTTTTTATGATGGTCTCTTTTTTTCCCAGCACTAGTAGTTGTAGTGGTAGCAGTGTAGTCAAACTTGTTGATTAATGCTCTAGTTAGCTTATAAATCTCTAAGTAGCATTATAGCTGTAATGATGAGCTTCATAACACTGAAATGGAGTATGCTAGTTACAGAGACAAAGCAAATATTTGGTTTTGATCCAGTAGTTTACCTGTAGAATTATAATATCATGCTTTGAAAAAAGTGGAAAGAGGGACGTGAGGAAAAATTTCTTTACTGAAAGAGTGGTTAAACATTGGAACAGGCTGCCCAGGGAAGTGGTGGAGTCACCATCCCTGGAAGTATTTAAAAGACGTGTAGATGAGGCGCTTAGGGACATGGTTTAGTGGACACGGTGGTGTTGGGTTGACGGTTGGACTCGATCTTAGAGGTCTTTTCCGACCTTTATGATTCTATGAAAACATGGCAGTATGTTTCTACATTTTTCCATGCTGTTCTTCTGTAAACGTTTCATCCACCCCGCACCTAAATGTGTTTTCAGACATGGCTGGTTTAAACTCCCATGGAAGCCATGTCCTGAAACCAGGCAACATACAGGAGGAGTTACAGTTGTTGGAAGCATGAAAGGAAGGGGAAAGCTGAAAGGGGTTTGTAGAAGTACAGTTACTGTACAGCTTTGACATAAGTTGTTACTGACTTGTGTGATTCCTGTACCTAAACACTTTGTTCTTATCTTTTAATATGATAATGTGTTCCTGGTTTGGGTTTCAAGGTAACTGTACCCTTGTGATATAGAAGCATGTGATCATTTCTGTAAATATATGCATATGTAAGGATGGCGGTGCACCCTATTAACCTTATAATACATTCTGGCACACTGTGACGTTTGAGGAAAACAATCGAGGCACATATTTAACATTTCCTCTGTATTCCAATAAATATTATCTCTGTTGGTGTATTTATGATATTGTTCACGTTAGCTGATCTGAAGTGGCCAGGAAAAACAACTTTTTAGTGTCCGGGTCATTCCTATTGCAAATGTGTATTCAGCCCTTTTACAACATGAAGCTCAATATAGTTTTATTTCCCAAACTGCCACGCTTCATGAATAAGAAACAATCTGTACTTGGTGGGTCAACCCACTGGGCATTAAGGTAGGAACTGTAAGGAGAAGCAGTAATGCCAGACTGGAAGCATCGTGGTATGAAGGTGCTATAGCTGTCTGCTGATTTAAGTAGCAAAATGCTTTTGTCTCAGTGGAATTGTTGGGGTTTTTTTTCTTTTAAATGAGGGAGCGAAAGCCTGTAGTCAAGTTCCCAGGAAAAACCTACCACAAGGTGTGTAAATAATAGAGCTAACCTGGACATATTTGAATATTCGCTGAACTAGACAGTAGGACAAAAGAAAATCTGTTACTTCAATAATCCAGACATGCCATGGGTTGTGCTTTTAGAGCTGAGTGCTACCAAAAGCATGAAGGCTGGTCTGTACCGTATGTCCAGTTTTGGAAGAACATAGCTGCGGTGAGAAGACACAAGTCTGGCATATTGCTTGATTAAAAACTAGCAATGTCAATAAAAATAATTTAATTTTCAGTGGCTTTATGTCTAGCTTTATGATTGTTAATACAGTGTTTAAGCTGGTTAATTTGAGACATTTCAGAAAGACTTCAGAATTAATGTGTTTTGATAGCTTTTAAGGTTATTCAGGAAAAATAATCTATGAAAGCAGATCAAATACAGTAAAAGGCTACTATGTCTGCAGCTTTTGTGATTTTTGGTAGTAGTGTGTATAACAAGTGGGTGGAGAATGTTTATGCAGCAAGAGATTTAGTGTCTTAGTCTTACTTTAAAAGAATGCGGCTGAACGATGTAGAGGGAGGCTAAAAAAGAAGGTCACTTTCAGAAAGTTACAAATGAACTTTTTTTTTATCTACTAAAAATTCTTATTTAACCAAGTCCATTGCCTAGTATGGACTGCATATAGATAATACTGCATGATGTACCTCTTGAAGATGAGGAAACAGTGCCTGCCAGCACAACCGCAAGAGGAGTTGGAATATGTGATTGAGATATATAAGGTTAGCAAATTGTCTATCCGTCTGTTTATTATAATTAATCAACCCTTTTTCTTAATCAAACTTTTTTTTTGTAGGAATTTGTTTACCAGAAAGCAAAGTGCAAGATTTGAAAAACAAAATGATGTGGGATGGAATTTGTTTGGAAAAGTACCTCTCAGAGAAAACTCGCAGAAAGATCCAAAGAAAATACAAAAGGTATTTGTTTAATTCTGTGTTAGGATTAGTGGTGAATGTAGAAGCCAGTTAAGATTATGATCTGTATATATGACCGTGAAGCCTGTTTGTTTGAGTTGCGCACAATTTCTTGGACAGTATCAACGAAGGTTCTTCACTGAAATTTTACTTCCATTATAACAGTGCTGATCAAAAGAATGTGTTCTACATGACCATTACATTGAGTGGTCCATGAAAACACATACCACTTTGGTATAAAGCATTTCGTGTGAAGATTCAAAGTATATGAATGCGTATTTGTTTTTTTTATAATCAAGCTTAGGAGGTATTTTGAAAATCTTTCAAATTTCTTTATCTTGTTCTAGCTTTCACTGGTTTGTGGCCTTTGTGTCATAGACCCATCTGTAACACGCTGTTTGAAGGGAAATTGTGTTCTGCTGGGCCTTGGCTTATTTGTGCTTAAATATAACTAAAAATATATAAATTCAAGATAGAGTGAATGGTAGAGTGCCAGAAGCTGTGTTGGAATGCTAGTTTCACCCATTCCTTGTTTTCTGAAGTATTTGCTGTTTGGAGCTGAAATTTTCCGTGTGTGGGCCCTGATGAAAATTTGGTTACTGACTTGAAATGTTGGAACAATACAATACAGTTCAGGATAGATGAATAATTTTTTTTTCTTGTACAGTATAGTTCAAAAGGAAGTGTGTATTGAAATTGTTTATTGAAATGGTTCCCTGAATAGAGAGAAACTTTTAAAACATCAGAAACACCAAAGAATTTAGGTTTCTCTCTGTCTTCATTGCTGCTTAGCTAGTTTTGACATCGGTTTTTATGTGTGTGTCTGTTGCTTATATTTGCCAGTAGTTAGATTCATGATTTGTCAAATTTTAGCAGCTGTTTTTGGGGGTGGGGGAAGGGGGGTGAAGAGGCTATACAAACATCTTTTCAGGCTGTCCTTAGTGTGTCATAAGAGAGTAAAAAAACACAGTGAAAACCCAAAACCTCTTTCTTTGTATATCACTTCTCAAGCTACAGCATTATAATATTGTTGAAAACTAACATTTCAGAGGACTGGTTCTACTACAGATGAACCCAAGCAGATTGCTAGTGAATCAAATAACCTGCCTTCTCAATGGGGAAAAACCTCATGAAATCCAACTATGTGGTCACTAGTTTATGAACTGCTCCTTCAGTGAGAAGACGACGCCCTCTTTCAATCTGTCCCACTTGATCTGGGATTTTTGGATTGCATATAAGCATTTTATGCGTTTGGGGCTTTTGTTGTACTTCATTCGGTTCTCACTTCCTTGTTCAAACCACTGTGGGACTGGGAATGTTTGCATGGAGAGAGACCATGTAGTTAGAACTTCAAAATCAGCTGCTGTGTGTGAAGTGAGAATGCTGATTTGAAGGACTGTGCTGCTTGATTTAGGGTAAAGTGCTCTGGAAATTCAGGTGTCTCGTGTGACTGTTCTTAACTGTAGCTAGGCTGTTAATTTAACTGAAGTTCAAGCAGCTTTTTGAAGTTGTCACTATGATCAATGATTCAGACTTTATCTATAGCTTATCTTGATACAATTAACAGTTCCAAAGTGTTCACCAAAGATTTTTGATGACACAATTGAAGAGGCTTAATAATTGCAATACTCGGACACTTAGCGATGTATTTTATTGTAGTCATCTGTTCTTTGGTAAGTGGGTAAATAATTTATTAATGTTTTGTGGTTGTTGCTGGTACAGTGAGTATTTTTCCTTTAGATCCAAACTATCTTACAGCGTGAGTATTCAGTGTTCCCAGAACACTACAACATTGAATGGTTGTATTAAATTTGTTAGAAAAAAGTAGCTATTAAAGAATTATGTGGTATGGCATCCAACCGTTAGTTTCTGGCAAGATTGGAAGTCTGAAACAATTGTCTCCAATGCCTCTTGGATAACAACAACTAATCCTTCCTAATGTATGGTGCTTTCCTGAAGTTATGTTTGACATGTAGAATTTCTGAGACATGGGTAATGCTGTAAATAACTAATCTGGCCTCACCAGCACCCAAAAGCACATCCCAATTTAGGTTACCCCTCACAGATTGCTTTGGCAATGACAAAGTAGCGCTTGTGTTGCAGAGTTTTTTGCCCATTTAGAGGCATGCATTTGGCTCTTTGACTTGTGCCTAGAGAACTGGCATATGTGTAAGTGGAGGAGGTGACAGCATATAGCTATTGGGATGGTGCTTGTTGGCCAACACCAGTTCCTTCTCCTTTCTGGAAAAAGGGGTACTAGGCCAGAAGAATAATGCTCTGGTTCTATTTCTACCTTGAGGTATGTATTTTATTTCCAAGACTAGAAGAGTAGGTGCTTGAAAAATCCTTATCTTGTGTATTGAAGAATTCGGAGGTATGCAATGAAATGTGGGAGTTGGGGAAGAAGATGGCTGTGATCAAGGTAAATGGTTAGTGTCCTAGTAAATGATTTCAGTGTCTGCACTTTTTCCTGTGGGGCATGAAACAAGGTGCCGAAACTATTTCTTTTATAGGTGGCTGTTAATTGTCTGTATTTTATGTATGCTTTACTTGAAATCGGGCTTGATTTTTTTTTTTTAATTTATTTTTCTTCCCAGAAGTGCTAGGGCCTTTCTTAAAGCAATGGCAGTTACACTTGCATTATATGAAATCCACTATAAACACTAGGTGCCCTGAGAAGCCAATCATTTGGGGATATAAACGTGGTGACAGTTTTGGAGCCTGAGACTCCATATCTTGACCACCGGTGTTTCATGACTCGACTACCACAGTCTTATGCAAAGAGTTGTTGAAAACATTGTGGAACACTCTTACATGACCTTGTGAGTATAGGAGCTGGGTCTTGAGGACTGTATGGGGAGCTGTGAGGCCATGAACAATGATGGCGGCAACATAATTGTTAATTGGACGCTGTCAGCTTGATGTATTGAGTGAAGTGTGTAGAGCACACAGTCTGAGTGGAAAATGCCACCTAGACAGAAGGAACTAATTCAAAATCTAAGTATTCTTTTAGCATAGCATTGTGTGTAACTTCCTATACACTTCAAGAAAACCAAACTGGAGGGAGAAGAGGGAGGGTCAGTTTTTATAACATAATGGGAAATCATCAGGGTTTTGAACCCTGCTGTCTGTTGACCTCTTGAACTACCATAGTGATTTGTAGCAGCAGTCACCTGTCACTCCATGCCATGAATTTCTGATTATATTACACAACTAGGCTTGTGCAAACTTGATGAGAAATAGTTAGACATTGCTCGTGCTGCTGGCCACAGTTATCATGGGTATTGTTTCCTTCCCGTAGTATACTTTATTCCTTCTGTCTTCTGTATGAGCAGGATTACCTGACTTCATTTATAGAATTCAGTGCTCTGACAGACTTATTTCTAACATTTTCTGCTGCTGACATGATGAACAAAAGAATTGTGCGTTGGCGTGCCCTTGTAATTTAACTTTTCATCATTCTGCCTCTTGGGTATTATCTGGATTTGTACTGAAGAGATACTCAGTGCCCTGTTAAAGGGTTTCATGCCTATTTGCTGGTGGCAGAAAACTGACAGGCTTCTGAGAGTCTGTTACTTGAGAAGCCTCAAGTTTGGGAAAGGGTGGAGATACAGACTGTGCCTTCCTCTTGAGCTTGACCCTGTCCCTCCTGTTCCAGTTCCTGCCTCTGTTGGTACTGGTGCTTAAAACAGGGGTTGTTTATTGAGCAAGAACCTTTCCATTCTCTGGCTTGACTTACTGATTCTTTTCAAGCAAAAAAAAACCCCACTAACCCCAAACGTATTCATACCATGGAGTCCAGGTCTTCCTGCAAATTACCTGTTCCCAGTGTTGTTATTGTCTCTGTGGTAAAATACTCATTAGCCCCCAGATTGTAGGAGACTCCATCTGCCTGACTACAGAGGCTCTTGAGTAGTGTTTCTGTTAGCAAAATCTTGGTCTAAGTTAACTCTGAAAGACAACTTAGAGGAAAGATAATAAATTCTTCATCATGATTGTTACTTGATTATGGTTTCCCATCTTGGAAAAGAAAAAAAAAAATTCAAGTTGCATGTAACTTGTTTAGACTGTTGAAAGTCCTTTGGGTTATCTTAAGATGCCACAAAATAACCTGACTGTAGTAGTAGCTATGGCTATCAATTTCTGTTTACATCTGTCCTAAAGTTTCACATACCTAGGGAAATCCATCCTGCTTGGTATGAAGCTCTTTGTGCACAGGAACTAAGGTGACTGAGCCACCAAGTAATCCTTTCTCAAGTCAGCTTCTTCTGCTTCTGGACAGACATCAAAGAAATCCTTTGCGCCGGGTCACTAATTAGAGCCCTGTGACTATTCCATTAATTTGGCTGTAGATTCCTATAGTGAGTTCATTGGTATGTTCATGGTTCCATCTTTTGATACCTTTTTTTTTTTCCCCAGAATGAGATGAACAAAGTTAACTGCAAAATTAGTTTCCTGAAAAATAAGGATGTTTGTGTACTTGGTTTTTAAACTTAT